AACGTTTATACAATTTCTCTAAAATGAATAATTGCCACCATCCGTCATTTCCAGAGAAATCTCAACGACAGAACAAACAAAATACGGCCTGCTTGACTTTTACTTCCACGCACTTGATTGGCATGTTAAACTAATAAACAAAAAATTCTGTCCAACCGTAGGTACACTTTCTTAACAGTATAATATGTTAATTTAGAAGACGTGAAGTCTAGCTTCAAGTACTAGTCGTGAAAAAATAGTATATATACCATGGTAAAGAGGCCTATTATTGGCTTGGGGGGGGGGGCAAAAATGAAATAGCCTATCAAAATAGGACATACGGTACCTACATATAGCGAAAAGTATTGGGTTTTACTAGATTTGTCTGTCTGACTCTTTGGTAATACGCGATTCGCCCTTTTGTAACTGTGAGAAATCTTCTTCCCTGTTACACCAAAAGATCACAAAAAATGCTATAAGGGCGTAAAAGAAAGACACTCAAAGCAGGATTTTCCTTTTTGTGATATACTAGCTACTTTATAAGTTTCTGCAAGCAACACAAATACTACTTTCTTATATCTCTCACATCCTGATTTAGCCAATTGTATATTCACAGAAATCAATAAAAATCATCTTAATGTTTCTAATAGACAATGTCTTCAATTATTGTACCTATCTAGTTAGCCGTGCACTTTATCCGAAATCCAAGAAGGTTTTATCTTCGACCCATTAAACTCTCCATTGAATCGTCTCTCTAATCCACTAGCCCCCAGGCCTCTACGATTAACAATTGAAAATGCTAATCCTGTCTAAAGAATTGGGTGAGAACCATATATACAACTTCACTCCCTCGACCAATGTCACATTTTACCATCGGTTTCCATCCAATATTAAACTCTTCCAGTTCGTGTCGACTTAAATGCTATGCGTTTATTACCAACCCTTAAAAAACACCTTACATGTAATCACCATATATGCGAAAAAATTTTGGAAAGAACCTCACTCTCGTCCTATTGTAAAACATTTGAAAATTTGGCTGTTTAAACTAAACAAACTACAGCGTAAACTAAATCTTCTCGGATTTGTTTTTGATCTGCAAATCATTATTCGCAGAACATTTTATTTGTAATGTAGTAACAAATATCTTAGGTATTTCCCACCTACATATAACGTGACAGATCATTAGGATATTTTTAAACCAAAAAATTGGCGCCAAAATTGATAATAAATTAAAAATCTTTATAACGAAATTTTAATTAATATTTTTAGAACGTCACTTAACCAAGGGTTCTTCGTATCCTTTTCCTTTTACTATTTAATGCACGCGTTTCTTTTGCAGGATACTCACAAATAGAACAAAATGCCACAAGCGGGAGAGACGAAAAACCTAATTACGACATATTTAATTTTGGTGGCTCTGCTATTTGCCCTCTGGATGCTTTACACCGGCCTGTTCTAAGCATGTAAACGATCAACGTAAGTATTAGAAACATCAAATTAGCTTTCTGGCAGCAAGAAAAATGCCTGGCATAAGTTTTAGGGCACATTAACAATATTCCTACCGTAAACCTCATTGGTAAAACATCATTTGTGCAAATGATGTAACGCGCGCTATTAATATTAATTCTACCTGACTGTACGCGTAATATTGCAAAACTAATTTTAGAATTATACTGCAAGCATCGTTTTAAATAATTGTGTAAACTGTGTTTAAAATAGAACACTATTTTTAATTCGGTTGTTTTTTTTGCAGATCAAAGACGAGTTAGAAAAATGGATGCAAGAAAGACAATATACATACGTTAAAACATTAGTTGCTGCAAAAGTCCCCCGTCATCGATCATCATGATTCATAAACAACTTGCCTAACATGATGTGTACATGTGCATTTGTATTTTTATAAAAAAAATAAGACACTACCCTAGAATGTTTTTATTTAATTTTTAAGGAGATTGTTAAGTGGATCAATAAATCGTTAATTTTTCTAAATATTGGGCACACACTTTAAATTTTATTTATTGGTCTTTCCCGGCCTAAAAGCTCTTTCAAGGTGAAATTAAATGTGTTTGACACCTAACTCAATTCCATATTTTACCTATTCTTAATTTCCCTGATTGCAGAGCCACTGGCAAACCTGCTCTAGATGTTTCTATAGTCCGCGGTTTGGAAAGTCGGTAAGGCTATATGCGCTGTTATATTCTACTTCGAAAGTCTTACATTTTAGTTATAGTCCAGTCAACCTGTGTCGTAAAACACCCGTCGAAGGAAAAAAATAGTATAAAGCTAATTTTTTCCCCATCGACTACTACCATTTAGACAAGTGTTTAGCCAAAAGTCCCCACCCCTACCCCCCTTGCTTCCCTCCCTGTGCCCCTCTAAACATGAAAAGTGTAAGGGTTTCTTAAATCGCGTCTCTCTCGAGTACTAAACGACATATCGGATTGCAATTTGTTTTATTCATCATATTATTTATATTCTCTTTGCTATAACATTGTCTACAAATAAGTTTCAATTGACTTTCGTCGTAACTTTTACCGTTTGTTGGTAATGACTATGAAAAGGTAAAAAGTGGTATATTTTTCGGCACGTAATTTTACTTTTTGTCGCAGAAATTTTCACGCCGACATTTTATCAAAAAATGTTGCCTACAAAAGTTGTAGCTCCCATTATTACCTTTAAAATGATATGACATAGGACGTACTTTGTTGAAGAGCCGCCGAGATTCAGCCGGTGTAATGCAGAATGCGTACCCAGTCGTGGCGGGCTTCGTCGAGGTGGGCCCGGCGGCGCGGCGTTACAATGCTAATATTGTTGTATAGTGAGTGTTTTTTTTTTAACTTTAAGGTACACTATTGCATTTTCCCTAAACAAAACCTAAATTCCACCCTTTTTCAATTTGTGTCAAATTTTAATAAGTCCTTGTATGCAGCTAAAAATCGTATTTTAAATAGTTTTCTATTACCCAAAATCGTCCTGAAACCTTCATTTTCATGCTTACTTTCTGTCAGGAAATTTTAGTTTCCATGACAGAGGCAGAGCAGACTACGTTTCCTGCCGTTTGTCACTTTACTGGCCGCACCTGTCACTTATTACCGGCCGCACCGTCACTTTACCAATTACCGGCCGCATTTGTGACATTTCCAAATGTCTATAAAGACTCCTGTCATCACTGAGACTGACATTAATCAAAAGTTCTATACAATAATTGAAATTTGATATTAAAATACGATTTCGGGTAAAATTTCATACAAACCTCGTCAGTAAAATGACATTACCTGACTCGGAAATTAAAGTACTCGACAGTAATGTATCATTTACCTGACTTTTATGTAAATAACTATTGTTTAAAAATGCATGTAATATTTTTTTAATGTTATTTTAGAACAAACTAATTGCGGTATCTTAATTTGAAGTAAAAAATATTTTCAGATTATTCACATTAAAAAATAAATTGATGTTGACCATTTCCGATTTCCTAAACTTCCAGGACAAGTTCTTCATTTTCCTTGACTTCAACCAAAGTTACATTACTGCATGATCCGCCACAGCTCCCACACATTTCTGTGCAACAAGTGATGCTTTAAAGCAGCTGCCATTACTTTTGCAAGCCTTTTTGCAGTTGCAGGATCCAGTTTTGAATCTGATAGTATGCTCGATAGACGATAAGCGTGTTGTTCAGCAGCACCAGATGTTGGAGGGAGGGATGCGATGTTAAATTTGGATTTTAATGACATTTTTGCAACAGCTTTAAGTTACATTGAATATCAGACATGCAGACCTTGTGCATCCATATTTTTTTCAAGAAAAAAACCTCTCCTACCTCTTTGAGAATATTTTTGTCTGCCTGTTTTTCATAAAACTGTCATTTGATGAACTTAGTAACTTGTATGCGTTGATTTTGGAAGAGCAATAGTGTCTCCCGACTCCCAGATTCAAAGTGTGAGGCCTACAGTTGTTGTCGGACAGGATTCCGATCTTTTCGTTCTATTCTTAGGGCTACCACAGTGCCAAAATGTACAACTCTTCTTCCACAAACCCTCTGGCATACCATCAACCTATGACATCGGCAAGACCCGTGAAGAGATTGGTGATATGAAGGATGTGATATTATTTTTTTATGCTATCACATAATGTGATACCACGTCTTCTTTATTCGGCAAAGGCAAAATCAACGAGAACAAATCGGAAATGGTCAACATCAATTTATTTTTTAATAAAAAAAATTAAGATACCGCAATTAATTTCTTCAACATAAACGAAATATTACATGCATTTTCAAACAAAAAACTATTTAAAATACGTTTTTTAGCTGTACTTATACAAGGACTTATTAATATTTGACACAAATTTAAAAAGAGTGGAATTTAGGTTTTGTTTAGAGAAAATGCAATAGTGTACCTTAAAGTTAAAAAAAAACACTCACTATACAACAATATTAGCATTGCAACGCCGCGCCGCCGGGCCCACCTCGACGGAACCCGCCACGACTGGGTACGCATTCTGCATTACACCGGCTGAATCTCGCAGGCTCTTCAACAAAGTAAGTACTATTTCATATCATTTTAAAGGTAATAATGGGAGCTACAACTTTTGTAGGAAACATTTTTTGATAAAATGTCGGCGTGAAAATTTCTGCGACAAAAAGTAAAATTACGTGCCGAAAAATATACCACTTTTTACCTTTTTATAGTCATTACCAACAAACGGTAAAAGTTAGGACGAAAGTCAACTGAAACTTATTTGTAGACAATGTTATAGCAAAGAGAATAAAACAAATTGCAATCCGATATGTCGTTTAGTAATCGAGAGAGACGCGATTTAAGAAACCCTTACACTTTTCATGTTTAGCACAGGGAGGGAAGCAAGGGGGGTAGGGGTGGGGACTTTTGGCTAAACACTTGTCTAAATGGTAGTAGTCGATGGTGAAAAAATTAGCTTTATACTATTTTTTTCCCACTAAAAACACAGGTTGACTGGACTATTAGCTCTTTTTCAGTTGCCAAGCTCGTAGGAATCCCGTAAAAGTGCAAAGATTTCATTGCCATCGTGCTGTGAACTTTAGAAAATTAGGGGGAAGCAGCATTTTTGCTTGGTAGATTCTAAATACTACGTACCCCATCGATCTAGGTATATGCCGCTGTGAGTTTCACGCGGGATTAAAGGTCCTAAAAATCTGTTTTTTTGTTGTAAATATCTCTTTCGAATCCCATATTCGTATCTCCCCCAACAATACATGCTTTTCTTGTTGGAGAATTATAGGTATCCACCGAGGAAACGATTCCACTGTGGATTGAAATGATTTTGAAAATCCATAATACTTGTTCACCATATCCAGACATATTTTGTTTGATTTTAGTCCTTTCTTAAGCATCAAAATGCACTAATAGCGATATTAGTCTTGATTCCTGCTTATATGACTTTGCATTTAGTAATTCATTACCTACACTGCAACAAAAGATGCTACTGGCCAAACATTTCTTGGGAAAACACTTTTTCTTATTAATTTTGGTGCGTAGAATCCAAAACAATTCGTACTTTTGAACTAGTAGCCCAATCTTGGAACTGTTTGAAATTATGGATTCTACAGGCCACATTCTATAAGAAAAATTTTTCCGGGTCGATCTGAGACAATTTTTTTTGAGGGCCTCAGAAAAAGGCAGTGTATAACCTTCCTTTTTTACCAAAAATCGACTGCACCAAAATTTCTCGGGAAAACACTTTTTCTTATTAATTTTGGTGCGTAGAATCCAAAACAATTCGTACTTTTTCGATCAGACTTCTCAATCAAAAGTTATAGACTAGAAACCAATTTCGAAAGAAAATTCAAAGGGCTGTAACTTTTGAACTAGTAGCCCAATCTTGGAACTGTTTGTAATTATGGATTCTACAGGCCACATTCTATACGAAAAATTTTTTTCCGGGTCGATCTGAGACAATTTTTTTTTCGGGGCTCAAAAAAAGGCAGTACCTTTAAGTTATTCAAATATTTGAGAACGATTTAGAAATGTTTAGGGAAAGTTTCCATTGTCACAAAATCAAATATAAAAATCCGATACATCTGAATACCGAACTCGATAGTCTACGTAACTTAAAAACAATAGGGACCTTTCTTATATCCTTAAGACCATGTGTACCAATTTTCAAAGCGATCGCACGTTTCTAAACAAGTTATCATGCACACGGACAAACGGATGGTCAAAAATGGATCTGTTCCAAAATCGCTAGGATTAATTTCAGAAAGGCGTACGTATCATGTGCACGACGTACGATCGCTTTGAAAACTGGTACACGTATTCTTAAGGATATAACTGGTATAAGAAAGGTCCTGGTAGGTACCTCCTATATAATAATAATAATAATACGCTTTTACTCCCCTTAAATTTGTATATAACAATAGAAATAGAAAAAAAGCTAACCCCATACAAGGTATAACTTGATTTTTTATGTAGTATACTATTTTAAATTTTTAATGTATTTGAGTGACAAGTATTTGAATACTTTTCAAAGTATTCGAAATGGTACTTTTTATAGTATCCGAATACCTTTGATAGTATTAGAATACTTTTGAAAGTATTCGAATACTTATTTTTTTAAGTATTTGCATACTTTTCAATGTATATGTATCTAGGATTCGCTTGTGCTGGACGTAAAAGTATTTAGTATTCAAATACCTTTGATTTGTGTAAAGTATTTACTATTTAGTATTCAAATACTTTTTGAAAGTATTCTGCCCAGCTCTGATGGAATGTATATAAGGGCATGTATACAATTGGAGGTAAATTAATATGAAGAGGAAATTAAGTGGGAAAAATCGTTAAAAGAATTTTCTCAGGCATATAGTAGCGCAATAATTAGCAATATACTTATATAAAATGAGTAATGACATTATAATTATTGATCACGTTAGAAACTGTAGAGAGCTTAGGCTAAGGCGCAAATACTCATTCTGGGTTACATTTGGATTTGCAATAGAAGGTAAATGTGTGACTAA